GAAGGTTGTTATCCTTGCACCATGAAGACAGCCGCTCCACCTCATCTCTGTAGGCAGACTCATCTCCCCCAGATATGAGCCCCACCACAGTAGTGTCATCTGCGAACTTTACAATGGTGTTGCTCTGGTGGGCGGGGGTGCAGTCGTGTGTATAAAGCGAGTAGAGCAGTGGACTAAGCACGCAGCCCTGCGTGTTCAGTCCACTCCTTAAATTGTTTATTAAGGAGCTTAAGGGGACTTTTGTTGCTGAACATGCCTGTTCTTTCCCCTTCCTCATAAACTTTTGCTTTAGCTCTTGTAGCATTCAATTTTTTAACCTCTTCCAAGCGTTCGATCTCTCTGCACTGCTTTTCCATTGCTTGCTGCCTTTCCAAGTTTTCATGTTCCAGTTTTTGTAGTTCAGCTGCTTCCCTTTCTTGCTCCTCCATGACTGCTAATATTTCTTGAAATGCAGCTACTTCAACCTCTGCTTCCATCGCTTGTTTGTGAGTATGACTGACCTGAACCACTTTTAGACCTTCGCGATTTTGACCTTGCTTTAATACTTTCAGATCCTAAGCACAGCCCAGCATCGGGCCTTTGGCTGTTTTTCAGCTCTTTTAACAATGAATGAGGAAAGTGATGCACATGCATCTATTTTGTGCCTTGCGTCTGCAGCAGGGGTTTGTATTTGGTGTATTTGTTCATAAATGGTTTGTACATCTTCGCAGGTGACATTTGCGTTGTTAATCAGCTCATTCAGTTCATTCTCTGAAACTTCTTTTCTTAATATTACTTTGCTTCATATCTCCGTTTTCCAAAAACAACTGCATATATGTATTGGAGATTTTCAAGTTTCTTCTCTTGAAGCTTTTTACCCTTTTCAGTTTGTAAGAGCGAAAGAGTAATAACTAACAGTCTGCCGTTTTATAAGTTGCTCAGCATCATTTTCTTCTGCTTCAGTCAGTAGGTGGAACAGCACAGTGCTCTTCATGATCATTGTCAACCATCTTGTTAGTCTAGTTAAATGTCAGTCAATGCATTATGTTTAAATTTCAAAATACTTCTTTAAATTTGTAACTTATTATATGTATCTCAAGTATTACTTTGGGATTACTGTTACTGTATACTTTAGCTGTAATGAGCTTCACTCTTAATACAGATGTAGTTTAACTTAAAGAACTTTGTAAACTTCACATATAGTTTGACCTTAAGCAAACACACAAAACTCTTTCCTAAACTACAAAGCATCACTTTGAAACACTGTAGAAATGAAGTAACCTTTGACAAATGTGTTATAGAAACTTATTGTGGATCTTTAAACTTGAATTTAACCACTCTTATTCTACTTTAAACACTACCGTTTGTTAATTTTCACATTAATCCAGTTACCCAGCGTTGCTGCTGCTGTGCTTGGCTGTTTGTGAACAGTGAGCTTGTGTGATGGCGCCCTCTTGCGTCTCACCGCTGTACTGTCACTCACTGCTGCAGCTTCTACCAGCAGCTTCTCACCAGTGCGGGCTAGGGCGAGTTTTTACTGTATCTCCAAAATGACAACACAGCACTGCTTCTTCAAGAAAGGCGCTTTGCTTTTTTAATTAATTTTTTTTAACACTGTGAAAACTACAAACATAAAACGCAAATGCTTTAGGCACTTCAGTCATTTAAAAGTAACCTCCCACTTTGGAGATCCTAGAGGAATAACCTTATAGTCTTGTGCATTTGAAATTAATGTATAAAATAATTAGAACACCATAGATTATAAATTTTGACAATATTACAAGACAATTATAACAAATCCCTTGTACAGCTAGTGGATGAACTAGACTGTTGCAGATGTCTCGCTGAAATCCTTTGCGTGTTTTTCAAACACAGGCCTCACAGTCTCTTAAAATTCACACCAATGTCATCAGTTAATGTGTTGTCAAATTTGTCTACTTATGTGGTGTGAATCCCAAAAACATTAATGCCAATGGTAATGCATCTACCCGTGTCATTGTAGTGTAGTGGCATACGTATTTTGGCATTTTGTCTTTTCAGGGTTTGGTTTTCTTACAATGGCCTGAGATGCCAAATGATATACGACCCCAAATCGGTCTGTTATGCCTAGGGCTCTCTCAACTTTGATAGATGCTTATTATTGAAATGTGATGCATTACCTGTTGATTCTTGGTGCTCCATATCTGGCTATTGATTCATTCCTCAGCCACTTTATTACAGTCTTTGCATCTTCTTTCTCGCAGGGAATTGCTTCCACTCATTCGGTAAATCTGTCCACCATTACCAGTAGATATTGGTATCCCTTTGTTCTGTGTTCTCATGTCAGTAAAATCAGTGGCAATGTCCTTGAATGGGGCATCTGGGACCAAAAACCTTCCCATGGAACACCTGTTTCGAGTTGTGGTCATTACAGGTGACACACTCAGCTTCGTGGTTACTCACAAGGTGCTACCACAACTCCTCCATATTTCTTTGAGTTAGCTTTTTATTGACACGCACTTGCTTGATTAAAAGTTTTGCTGGTGCCACTATTCTTCCATCAAGACCTCCATTTTTTTCTGCCTGGTCAGCTGCTTTGTTTCCTTTAGCCACACATGCTGAGTTTCATTGGTGTCTCTTGCATTTCATGACAGCCACCGTCTTTGGAAGAAGGACTGCTTGGGTCAGTTCTTCCAGTTGTTCCTTGGCAAGTGGCTAGTTTTTGTCATGTTTCTTTATTCTCCCATGAATTATTCTTCATAATGATGTAGACATGCAGGCATGGTGTTTTAAACAAAACCTCACCACTTATTTATCTGCATATTGGACACGCAGCTGGATCAGTTAAGTATGTTTTTAGAGAGACTATGTAAATGTAAAAACTAAAGTGTAACCATGCGTCTTGGTTTGGCTGTATCTGTTTTTTACTATGTCATTTACCATGAACAGTTGTTGACTGCAAAATCTATGCCTGCC